CAATCCAAGAATTGCCAGACTGGTTCAGGGCTGTCCAGGTATCCTACAGTCTGCATGATCTGTACAACCATGTTCCTCCAGAGAAGAGCCCACTAGCCACATGGACTTTTGCAACTTTTTTTTTTTTTTTTTGTCCTTCCTGAAAATTTGTTTGGCCCCTAGGTATGTTTTTTGTGAAATACACGTCTGAGGGCTTGGTTGAGCTGTCAGTGTTATACACCTCATTTCTCAGAAAGATTTCAGAAATACTAAATTTGTAATATCTCTGGGTTTAGATCAGCATCCATTCTTTGCTGCATGACCTGATTACTTTGGGGAAGAATCTTTCAAGTTTCAGCTGCCTTTTATTGGTTATGACTCGTATTTTCAACTATTAGAAAATATCTGAACAACCTGTTTATTAGCTTTTTGTGTCCTTCAACAGGGGTGGTGTAATAGCAGCATTGGCTGCTGCTAGCTTTCTTCTAACAAAGTAACATTTTTGTGGTTCTTAATCAAAAAAAACCTTATTCTCTCCAAACTAGAGATGGAACTGAATGATCCTGGGACAAAGGCCTGGATCCAAATGGGATTTTTGCTTTTGAGTATGAGCTCAAGCTATGATTAATCACCTTTTCTTTCGGTGGAATATACTAGCTTCTGTAAGTGAGCTTTTTCACCTCACAGAGGGAAATGAAAAAGCTGGGTATTTTATTATGCCTTGGATCACTGATGAGGAAAGGCTCATTTGTACAATTCACTGAGCAAGTCTTTGGTCTATTTCTTGTTACAGACAAATTATATGGTTATATGTTAAGTTACAACACAAAGTATTCAGATGTTACATAAAATCAATAAAATGCTTTCTGAAAAAAAGCATACATTTTAATGTCTTTATTTCTCTTGTGATGAAAAAGGCAGAAAGATCCATGTACTGTAAAACAGAGAAAACCCATTCAGGGGTTGTTACTTATTGTTCTATTGCTGTTACCGCAGGGAAAATAGTAGTAATTTTTAAAAATCATTTCTGCATGATCTGCTTTTGTGTGAATTGATAAGAAAATATGTTCTTTCTGCACATGCAACACATAAGGAATATTTACTGCCCATATGGTCTCTTGAGGGCTCTGACATTAGAATTTCTATGGTAGCAAGTTGAGAGCAAAAAAAGCAATTATCTGAGTGCTGTAAAATTGTGCTGTTTGCATCCTGCCTGTGCATAAAATGAGCATAAGAAGGACAGGAAAAGCATTTAGCAATGGGACACCTGCATGGGAATCCTGGATATTTATACACTATGGTTGAGCTCTGCTGATTTACATCCTCTGCAGGGTTGCCCCACTGCTTTGTACAAAAATCTGCCATGGCACATGACACAGAGCCCAGAAATGTGCACCAAAGGTTACTGCTGAAGGTGCTTCATCACAGCACGATTAAAGGATGTGATGGACTCGCGTGGTTGCATTAGAAGGAGAAATTAGGTCTTTGATGTTGCAGCAGTTTGTTTCATTCCACATCTGAGTCATCCCAGCATGTCAGGACGCAGCAGGATTTCCGCTTATCGAATCCTCTGACAGTATTTCCCCATATAGCACACGATGCTGCCTGCACAGGGTTGGCTCCCCAGGTTTCTTGCATTAAACCCTTCCTCAGTACCAAAATGTATTGGTAGGCTTGTCACAGCCAGTGTGACTTCAGCTACTCATGTTCCTTGGAAAATCACCTTGAATAGAAGATACTTGTTTGCTTTTGACTGTGCTATAAAACCATTCTTTCATTTTTCCTAAGGTTTAATATATTTTTTCAATTGGTTTTGTAGGATAGCAAGAGCTGTGAGAATGAGCAGTCTCCATGCCAGTGGATCACAGACTGCCTAGCATGGGTTCTGTTCTGTGCACGTGTTACCTCACTCACATTGTGGGTTTGTGTGTACAGGCACACACACATTTCCCTTTATTTTGTTCTCATAATAATAATAATCTGTCCTCAGTACCTCCACCAGTAGGGAAAATAAAACACTGAGAAGACAAAGGAGGATCAGAAGGGTTTTGTGATCAGATGAGCACTGACAAAGCAAAGCCTTATTTCCTCTGAGAAGAGCTATAGCCCTATATTTAATTCCTGACTGTTAAGTTTTTAGGGGTGGTGTTCACAGCTGACTTGGGTATGAGCAGTGTGTCCTTTGGTTATTAAAGCTCAGCGCATTAAGCTCCCCTTAAGGATGGACTTACAGACACAGGGTCTAATACTGGTCATTTGATCAAATGAAATTTGTTTATGTTTTAAATCAATGTGTCCACATTCACTTCTTCATGCCCACAGTCCCATGAACAGTAACAAATTCTGATGTATGCAGAAAGAGTGAAAAAATCTGGATGTTGCACATTCAAGGAGCTCAGTTTGAGGTACATAAAGAAGTCTTTTTGAGCTACAGGGTATCTACAGCTATCAGTTGCTTCAATGGTCACTAAAGATTCCAGGTTTTATACCCCAAAACAAACAACATTTTTTAAATGTAGGTTTTTTGTGCCTTAATGCTGTGTTGTTTGCAAGCAAATACTGCATTTTCACACCTGGCTTCTTCAATTTCATCCATAAATAAAAATTCTAATTTGGAGAATTAATTAAAGTGAAGAACGTCATTGAACTTCAGTGGGAATAGGAGCAATCCAGTATCTTAACAAAAAATATCAATTAAAAAGCCAACAAAAATAAACTAAAAAAAAAGTACTTGTTTCCAACAGTTGATATACAGCACAAAATATTCAATTGATTGATTCAGGCCATTAGGCACAAGAATGAGTGTTCAAATTTACAGAATTAAAGAGTCATTTTAATACAAAACCTTCTGAGTATCATATTCTCAAACTACCATATGATCTTGGAGAATACTGCTTAAATCAAACTTCATCCTCATTCTGTTGCTGCTACACAGATGTATGTTATTGCCCACGGGTAGGAACAAGGGCAATTTCAAATTTAGCATGTCAGGTCAAGGATAACAGTTCCCCTTCTGAGTTTAGTCTCTAGCAATGGCTCAGCAGAGAGCTCATAAAAAAAGAAAAAAAGGTGATTAAAAATATCAATAAACTACATCTTGAGAGATTGCCATGGGGTGGATGAGCATTGACTGCCCTCAATTTATGAATGGGAGAATCCAGGCAGAAACACAGCGTCTTGGGAATAGTGAGTCTCCAGGCAGAGCCAGGGAGAAAAGCCAGAGCTGTGTGCTCTATCCACCACACCACAGATCCCTCAAATGCAGCCCATGAGCTCCTACCTGTGGCCTAGGAAGCCTAAAAACTCAGCTCACAGCAAGCTGTAAAATAAGCCATCTCTAACTGAATGATCTCGTTAATGAGCCAAGGCAGCTCCAGTCTCCGCTTCAGCAGTGCCTTGCCTGCGAATTGCTGTGCAGTCCCCGGCCTGAGGGGTAACCAAAAAATTGCCCTGCCTGAAAGAGAAAAACAGTGGTAGCTCTGGCATGGGGGGGTGGATTGTAAATGCACACAGAGGACTTCCAAAAGGTATTTTATGCTGTTTCGCAGTGATGAGCTGACCAAATCTCTAGTTCTTGTTTGACAACTCACAGCATTTAATCTTCTTTTCATTTCTGAAATGTTTCATGGATACCAAACTAATCAAGAATTCCAAAAAGCAAATCAAGAAGCTATAGGACAAATCTCATTATCCGGAATATGTTTGGCTACTGCAATCCATTCTTTATATATTAAGCATTGTTTCAGTGTTAATTAACAGTGTCTAATAATCATTATAAACACTGTGTTAACCACAGGAATAAAAGATTAGCCGGGATGAAGATGGAGATGTCTTTACATCAGGTTTTTTATACAACATGGAGTTGCATAACTGCATACTCATTTTTTGCATGGCTCACAAACTTTTCAGGGGCAGTAACTTGATCATGTGCTTTCCAAAGTGCTTGAGAAGGTGAAAAAAGTGGTTATAAGTGACCAAAAAGAAAAGGGCAGAGGATTTTCAAGAGAGATCATCTGGTATTCTGGTTGCCTGCACATTTGGAGAGTTTTGAGTGACCTTAACAGCAGTTACATAAGCATATGGAGAGAAGATATAAACTTGTATTAAATGTGTAACACATATGGTCTCCTGACAGGATGTTCCTAGCCACGCAGTAATTTTATAGTCCACATGCACTGTACAGTAGTTCTTTGGGCTCAAAGCAGGACTTAGAAATAGTATATCAGCATGAACTGCATTCTTTGTCTTCGAGGGGTAGTCGGTGTGTTAATATTAAAATACACAATACACTTCGGCTAGCTCTGTTTGACAGCAAAAAAGTGCCATCTGTATGGGACTAGATCTTCCTAGCTGGTAACACCACATATGATATGGCTATATGATGTGTATGTGGAGTAACTATTTTCCTGGGGTGTGCCATGAGGAATTTTAGGGTAAGGAAAGTGTCCTTGCCAGCTTTATTTTATTTATTTGGGCAAGGGAGCAGCATTCTGGGTACTTCACAGGGCAAAGCATGTCACCTGGGCTGCTTAGGGCTACACGGTGTAAAGACTACACCTCTTCTTTCCAGCCTCAAAGCTAAATCAAATCAGTCTCAGCCCAGGATGAGATTGACAGAGGACGCAGAAGCACTAGCTGTACTGAAGTTGAGTTTCCTTGTTATTGTTATTAAACAATAATAACAATATTATTAAACATGTCCATCAGCCGCATAAACTCCGAGGGCTATTATTCTGTCGTGTTTGGGTCAAACAAAATCCTCAGCGAGAGAAGCCAGTCCAGCAGACATCACTTGAGGAGTCGCTCTAAGGAATTAGTTCCCAGTACGATCCACGCTGGTGCTGAGTGGCACCCGCTGCCGGCTGTCCAGCCAAGCACCTGCCCGCCGGCGCCCTGGGCGGAATCAGGATGCGGCCGCCTGTCCAGCCCCCTGCGGGCGCGGTGCGGTCTGTCGGGGCGCCCGGAGNCTACGCCGAGTTCGGCTGCTGCGACCCGCGCCGCGACCGCGCCCTGCTCCAGCGCTTCTACCGCCTCAGCGCCCGCCTCGACGAGCGCAGCTACGCCGCCTGCGCCGGGCACCTGCAGGACCTGCTGTGCCAGGTGAGACCTCCGGGACTCCCGGAGCTCCTGCTGCACCGGGGGCATCCCGCCGCGGGGCTCAGCCGCACGGGGGTCCTCCGATGGGCAGGGGACATCTGCAGCCGCCCCGGCTATTCAGCCCCTGCACGGAGCCGTGGTGTAGGCGTGGATGCTTCTACCCCGTGGCAGTGCTTTGGCCCGGGTGTGTGTGCACCTGTGTGTGTGCATCTACTCATGCGGGGCTCCATCGAGCCCGGCTGTGGGTGCTTTGGCCCAGACGTGGGGGCAGTGACCCCGTGCTTGTATTGATCCTATGCACTGGTCCAGGCACAGCGACTTTGGTGAGCCACGACGTGAATTCCCAAGCCCAGACTGGAGTACCCACCCACAGGTGCCTCAGCTGTGGCATTAGCCGGCAGGAGTACATCAGCCCACACTTTGATGCATCAGTGACAGCAAACAAAGTAGGCTTGGTGTTCCCAGGCACTGAAAGGAGTAACTGTCCATGATCAAGTATCCAGTGGACTTTTTGTCCTTTGGCAGCTGTCTAAAAGAGGAGCAGGGACATTGCTCTCCTTTAGTTTAGGAGCAGCAGTCTCAGATAGGTACGTGGGCAGTTAGAGTTTGCAGAGTCTCCTCGCCCTCCCAGGGTTAGGACACCAGACCTGGTGAAGAAACCCACAGGGCAGCTGCCTGCACAAATCTTGCTCCTTGTTATGACCAATTTATGGAGTCAGGTGGGGTTTTTTGTATTGGATTACAGCACTTTTAGCATGTGCCAGATGCTAGTAGTCCTGGTGATGGGTGCAGAGTAGTGCCTGGGGATGTGGCCTAGGAACCTTTGTGGTGGCCATCCTGCACAGGGGGGAATTTCCACTCAGAGCTGATGTTCTGGGGCCAGATATGATAATGGGATAATCACAGTCTGCACAGAGCAAAGTGTCTGACCCTATCATCAATGGAGGCCTTGCATGTATGAAAATGCCCCTGAGACAGAGCAGTGGCAGCTCAGTACTGTGCAAGTGTAAACCTTAAATTAATTCAGACAGTGGAGCCTTGTCTGCTATGCTCAGATGGGATCAAAATGGCTTTTCAGAAATCCTGCTCTTTGCATTTTGCTGGTACCTCTTGGATACCTGAAAGCATGAAAAGAAAGACAACATTTTCCACACCAGGTTCTAGAGAATTTAATTCTATTTCACCTCACATTGTACTGGAAACAAAAAAAATCTGAATATATTTCTGAAACAAGCAGTGTCTAAGAGTCCACGCACAGATAGGAAACCAGTTAGCAGTGTGTGCTAAGCACTCCTGCTTCTGGAAGTGATAACTAAGTCTCCTGTGTTTGTCAGAAAGCCAGCCACTGAAAATGTCTTCAGAAGCAGAGAAATATTTCAGTGTGGGAGCAATGATTCACTGAAATGTTCTGATGAGCTCAGTGCATGACCAGCCCAGATGTGGCTACAAACCACTGCCTCTGGCTGCACAAGCACGTCATGGAAGTTCAGTCATTGCAAACACTCTAGAACATTCTGTTTCTATTCATTCATTCATTCATTATATATACAATTTATATCCTGGACTTGAATTAATAAGTGTGTTTCTGTGACTTAGCACATTTCTCTCTTTCTGTTCACAATTCATGATTTCTCTCAAATGTGATCAAATTATTTTGACAAGTGTCTCAGTTGTGGAACTTACAGATTCCTGCCTTTTCTTGAATTCATAGAACAGTAGAATAGTTTGATTTGAAAAGGACCTAGTCCAGCCTTCCCTGCAATGAACAGGGACAGCTTCAGCTAGATCAGGTTGCTCAACTATCACTACACTGCCTTGTAAAACATCCCTCTCCAGTTCTCTTGTGAAAGGTGCCATAAGGTTATCTTGGAGCATTTTCTTCTCCACCAAGCTGCGAGAGCAGATGCCTCACTCCACTTCTTGGGGAACAGCTTGCTTAAAGGCTTGAGTTTCCAGATGGAAGTGGTCAAGGAATGCTAGGGATAATGTGGAAGTTAAACGCTTTTCTGAGGAGTCCCGTTGCTTCCTCCAGGCTGATAGCAGCAGTAAATAAGACATTGTCTGATGTGGGTGTTCCATCAGATTCAGACTGCTGGAATTCCCCTGATAAGGAGCTGCCACTGAATTCCTGGAACAGACAGGATGCATTTGGCTAGCCTGTCTTAATGTGGCTTGTTTTGTTTTCTGATGAGTTATTTTCGTAGTACAAACTTGTTCCACCCCTACTGAAGTAACTGATCATCTGTCCATTATTCCTCAGTCTTTGGACCACTAAAGCTAAACTAAAGCATAGTTTAAAATTAATGAACAGACAGCATCATTTGGAAATGACAATTTCGATCTAATATTGATCCTGAGCTCTGACTAAGGGTAGAGCTTGGTATTTTGAGTTATGTGAACATGACAGGATGATGTGAAGGCTGAAGGACCACAACATTTGCTTCTGAAGCAGAGAAATTCAGCATAAGGCATGAGGCTCCATCTCTTCTGGAATAAAATTTGGAAAATATTTCACATGTCTTGAAAATATCCTAGGACATGCTTAGGTAATTTCAGGCTAGTAGGTAGATCTCTGAATATCACTGCCAGTGCAATGCTGCTGTAATTAGCTGAATGCCACCAGGAATATTGTAAGGAGGGAAGGAGTTGCCCACTTCTATTCAGACACACCTGAGGCTGTGGTGAACAGCCTGCAATGGCAGAGACAGGGAATCCATATCTCTGGATTCCCTAAGCTACTTTTAATTCTGTTGCTGAAGCCAGGGAATTGCTTTATAATGCATAAGATCACTGCTTGCTTTGAAAGAGGCTTTCAGAGAATGAGGTACACCTGAATACTCAAGTGAGGGGCCTCCTCTCTGAATGGGAAACTTCCATAGGCAACAATAGATTGAGCTCCCACCCAGCCCTCCCATCAAATCCCCTTTCTGTCTCATTTCAATTTGTTTTTTAAGACAAATTTTTCAGTCATTATAAATGAATTGACAAATGCTCTCTCTCTTTCTGTCCCTGGCACACCTCGTGTAACCAAGCCGAGTGTGTTACCCAATCTGCCTGTGTAATTTCAGCGTTTTGTGTCACAAGCAATCTTCTTTTTACCACATTAATTGCTCCTCATTTGAAAGCATAATAACCTTCATTTTGCAATGAATGGCTTGACATTCCAGGAGGAAAGCTTATTGTATACTAATGATCTGTTATATGGCCTCTCAGTTTATTATGGTATGTAATGGAAAATAAAATAAAAATTAAATATTGTGTATGCTTATCAGCTAATTTAAACAGTTTGGAATCTCAGATGTTATATCTTTTCAGCTATTGAATACTGTTGTAATCTGCATAAAGAAATATCTCCCTATAGATCTAGAAACAGCTCTCTTTTTTTTTTTTTATTTAATTAAGCTGGTTTTGCTTAGAAAAAAAAGAAGCAGCAATGCCAGATATGAATTAAAAAATACAGAATTTATTTAAGTAATAGTTTCTTTTCTGACCTTGGTTGCCTCAGATATTTATCAAAATATAACTTTGAAAATAATTGAGCCTCCACAGAGTCATGTTGCGTTATTTGAAGAGCGCTTTTGAGGTGCTTGTTGGGAAGACGTATGATAACTGGAAAATATTATTACAAGCAAGAACCCTTGCAAAACTGAACTGAGTCACTTTGGTCAGTTTGTAACTTACAGACAGTTTTACTGGATTGCAGCTTTTTCATAAGGAAAATGTGTCTGTAGGAGTTCTCATCATGGAGATTACAATGAGCTGTGTGAACCTGATTCAATTCCTTAAGCAGATTTCCAAGGCTGCACCTTCCATAAACAAGGGTTGAGCTGCCTTGCTGCCAGTGGACCTTGCCTGGATTATGGCCATTTTGTGCTCACTGTCTGAAATCCTGTAACCTCAGTATCCCTCAAAGAACTTGGTGACCCATGTCATGATCATGAGATGCCTTTCACCGCTCCTGGCTGGGGATATCTGTAGGCAAAGGTTCATCAGCAAAGACAGCCGGACCCAAGCAAGGATGGTGTCCTCCCCTCCTCTTCCACTTTCACATCCCACTCCTTCCAAGCTGTAAATCACATCCATGGTTGAGGTGCATGCCTGGATTATCAAGTGATGAGGTATAAATGTAACAGGCTTTGGCCCTGATGGCCTTTCCCATTCTATCGTCAGTGTGGAGATGCGGGGCCTGAATCTTCTCAGCTAACTCTTTGGTTTTGCTTCTGTTCTGTGATGGATCTTATTTTTTCATAGATAAAATCAGAGCAGCCAAGGAAGAAAAGTCTCTTTTGCCCCAGTACAGTCTACTCGGGTGATGTAGCAACATAGACATCATTGCAGTTTTTTTTTTAAAAGTTCTGTGGTTAGAATAAATGAGTAACAGCTTGAGGAAGTCGGCTTTCACCAGGAATATTGAAGATAATTTCCACGAGTGCTGAGACAAACCTCCTTTTTAAGATCTTTCCCTCTGATAATATATCTTAAGAATAAACCACAACATATCTTGTAATTAAGATGAAATATCTCCAGTTAGTATCACTGTTCAGCTGTTTCAAATCTGCTCCAAGAAATGACTTGAAGCTTTTTCTCCCTCCCTCTAGGAATGCTCTCCATATGCAGCTCACTTGTATGACGCTGAAGATCCCTCCACCCCCGTGCGGACGATACCAGGACTATGCCAAGACTATTGCATGCAGCTGTGGCAAAACTGCCGCTCCATTTTTCGCTCTCTCTCTGCAGACCCAGAGTTAATTGCACTGGAAAACAACATGGCAAAGTTCTGCCGCTACCTGTCCCTGGAGGACACTGACTACTGCTTCCCACACCTGCTGGCTAACCAGAACCTTAACCAGAACCTGGGGCTGGTCACCGCTGATGCAGAGGGCTGTCTCCAGCTCTGCCTCGTGGAGGTCGCCAATGGGCTGCGCAATCCCGTTGCGATGGTGCACGCCAACGATGGCACCCACAGGTTCTTCATCGCAGAGCAGGTTGGTCTGGTGTGGACCTACCTCCCTGATGGATCCAGGCTCGAAAAGCCATTTCTGAACATCAGCGAAGCTGTGCTTACCTCACCTTGGGAAGGAGATGAGAGAGGGTTTCTGTGTATCGTCTTCCATCCTAAATTCAAATTCAATGGTAAAGTGTACGTCTACTATTCAGTTGAAGTTCGTTATGAAGAGAGAATCCGAATCAGTGAGTTCAGAATTTCTCCTACTGACATGAATGTATTGGACCATGGCTCTGAAAGGTATTGTACACATGTTTATCTGGCAAATGAATTTAAGATCTTGGAGGACAACTTGTGCATTTTTTAAGACTATTAATGAATGAGACTTATTTAGCTTAATGTTTTCGCATTCCAGAGTGCTATCATGTTAGTCCAAGTCTGTGTCTAGTGTACTGAGGTACAGAATGTGTGTGTCCTCCATGCATGACCTGCAAGTGTTCAGGGATAAAACATGTACCGTTCTCAGTTCTGGTGTGTCAGAGGATTTAACTAAACATGGGTTAACCATTATTTATAGTTAGTATATTTGGGTTATTGTTGGGTGGGGCTTGGAGGTTTATTTGTTTGGTTTGTACTTTTATGATTACCATTTAAAATAGACTTCTGCAAAGCATGAATGAAATTCATTCCAGTGCCAAAGGTTTGCAAAATTAGTATAAACAAACAAAGTGATACCAGAACAAAGATGGGTTTGGTCCTATATTTCCTTACCTGAACAACAACTCAACCTTTTGATATTACAAATTTAATATCAACTTAAATAAAACACAGGTCAGTATATTTCTACTGAGTGCATTTTAATTGGAAATGTCATTTGTTTGAGTCTGGTCTTGCAGTTGTTCTGTGCTAATATATACAGATGATGAGAGACTTGTTTGTGGAGGCAGGCTCATAGATTTATAACCTTCATAACCTCTAAATAGAACTATGTTATAAAACCACTGTTTTAAGAGACCCTTGAATATTAGTAATGCTAAAACTTTTGCTTCATTATTTGGATTTTATTAGGGGCTTTCTAAACACCTAGCTATGGATGATTTTAGCTCAATAGCTCATCTAGCTCATCTAGCTAATGATAGAGAGGGGATGCTGGTAAATATATATGTATATATATATAAAGCAATTACAGCAATCCAGTGTAAACAGCACTGTAGATAACAGGTAAGGGGAATTACTACATGGCACTCAGAAAAGCGAATCAGAAACCTGCAGATATTGACAGCCCATGAGCTGTCTTGTTTAAGAATCCTCAGGCTCTATGTTTGTAACAATTTCTGTGCTTACTTAGCTTATGGTTAGTACGGCTAAAGCTTAAGAAAACAAAATTGTGGTCCTATTGTGCTTGTGTAGGCACAAGTCCCACTGACTTCATCCCGAGTTGCTGGCCAAGAGGGAGCTGAGGCTGACATGTGGTGTGCACTGCCTCGGTATAAATACAAATGCATCTGTTTATCCTCAGATGTTTCTCAATGCATTTTGGTTTTTTCCATCTTCTTTGGGAGGCTGAGGAAGATTCACCTTTATGTCCAAACAGGATCCTCCCTCACTTCTGTTAGCTCCAACCTGTGCACTCTTGCAGTTACCTTATCACAGAGGTGCTGATATTTAACAGGAGCTGACAATAACTCCATAGTTAGGTTCCTTCCCACTACTCACAATAAATATCAACATTTCAGAAGGGGAAAAAACTTTCTAAAAATGAGGTGGTGTAAGTAAATCTTATAATTTACTTTTGTACCTTTTAAAATGCATTGCTAGCATGATATCTAGACATTTTTAGAAGCTGGAAATAATAAACTTCAGTTGTTATACTTGGGAACCTCCACTGCATCTATTTGTGGCTTTACTATTCAATAAAATCATAATTTATGTATTTTCCCCTTTTGTGCTATGGAAGGGATTCCAGGCGCATAAAATATACAAATAAAATAGAGAGTTTGGGGTTAAAATTAAGGTAAATTTTGTTGGTACTGCTTTGAACAACCTTTGGTAAATTCAGTTTGTTGGTGGGGCTGCTTTTAACTGCTCTTTACACTCATAAGGTCCTGAGTGTATAATTATCATTTAAGGATTCTTCTCTCTTTAAGAATTAAACTATTCCTTAATGTTTGAAAAGTTTTATGCTTGCCTTGAAAGCATCCTGGTAGGATTGTGCCAAAAGCTGCACAGATGCACAGATGGATTGGAGTCCTTTCTTTTAAAATTTCCAATTGGCTATAAGCTCAGATGCCTTTTCTTTAATAAATTATAAAGAAAAATAAAAAATAAGTTTAGCAAGGAGGAAGAAAGAATCAGAGGAAAGGTTTAAGTAATTAAAAGTATATTTTGTCATGTGATTTCCCAGACTTTCCATATTACACAATTTGGTGTTTCTGTAATCTGGAAAATATGTTGAAACTATTTAAGATTAGAAAATCAGCTGTTCCCAAGAAAAATTCAGTAACATGGATATGGAGGAATTTTTATCAAAACCAATCTGTAGCTGCTTCCATCTGTCAAGAACTACATTGGCATGACATTGCTCTGCCCTTTGCACAGTGCTTGTGCAGTAGGTAATTGCTTTCTCCCTGTTGTCACCTAGGATAATCCTTGAAATAGAAGAACCTGCTTCCAACCATAATGGAGGAGAGCTGCTCTTTGGAGATGATGAGTATCTCTATATCTTTACTGGAGATGGAGGCATGGCTGGGGATCCTTTTGGCACTTTTGGAAATGCCCAGAACAAGTAAGAGTGGATATCCATCCTTATGGCAGCTTCAGGGTGTGGAAAATCAATGCCAGCCACCTGGAGGCTGTGCAGGGGAAAACGCAATTATCTTGAAAAGGTTCTTTTTTCAGAGATATTCAAAGACTTGTCTTTTCTAAAACAGAAAGAATGAAACCCTAGACTTTCCAAACCACCCCCTCTCTGATTTTTTTGCCAAGGTCTAGTCTAATTATTTTTTTTATCTTTTTCATGTCTTCTCCCAATATAGATCAGCCCTGCTGGGCAAAGTGCTGCGGATCGATGTGAACAACAACGACCGTGGGCCCCTGTACCGAATCCCTCCTGACAACCCTTTTGTCAGCGACCCCACGGCTCGCCCCGAGGTCTACGCCTACGGAGTGAGAAACATGTGGCGCTGCTCTTTCGATAGAGGGGATCCCCACACCAAGGAAGGGAAGGGGAGGCTCTTCTGTGGAGATGTGGGGCAGAATAAATACGAAGAAGTCGACATTGTTGAGAAAGGGAAAAATTACGGCTGGAGGGCAAGGGAAGGGTTCAACTGTTACGATAAAAAACTTTGCACCAATTCTTCCTTGGGTAAATAGATGTGCTCTCATTTTTAATTCCTGCCTTCAAAGCCTGGCTGCTTGGTGGTAAACACACCTTTTTGAGATGTAAACTTCTACTGTTTCTTCTAGAAGGGAACTAGCTTGTGCATAAAAACTGAAAGTACAAATGTTACTGAGTTAGGAGGAATGTGAAACATGCTGGCTGTTGTTTTCCTAGGTGATTGGTGTTGTTAGTGAAATTACTTAGTGATTCTGTGGTTTAGAGGGACAATTTCATCTTTGCCACTTAAAACAAGCTTTTGTGCAGGAGCAAGAAAAATTTGGAGGAATTGTATTTTTCTCCATAACTCACAAGTAATAGCCTTATTTTTAAAAAAGAGAAAAACATTGACTGATCAACACTTATGCACATCGTCTGCTTTGCAGGTAGCTGAATGTATGTTGTATTTTCATTTCTTTTAGCTATGCCACAAAGGAAAACCTAATTTTATTTTCATTCCTTTAAACTGTACAAAACCGGATTGAGGATGTTTGCTGATTGGCTAAATTCCAGTGAACATGTGAAGTCAGAACATATTGAATTTCAAGGCTGATGTGGACCATGTCTTGTGCTGGAACCTCTTCAAGAGATTCAGGGAGGCAGTGGAGTGGGCTGGCACTGATTTGCATTAGCTGAGATTCTGATTCTTTTCTATGTGCTGTGTGTTGTTGTGTAATTTTCTTCCTAATATTAACTCAGTTTAAATTCCTTCCTTTTATTAGCTTCGCTATTAGTGTGAGAGTGATTAAGTATTTTTTTATAAAAATGTCAAGAGCAGGGAGCAGATTTTTTGCACTCCCTTTGCTGAAGCGGCTGTTCAGAGAGCTCATTTATTGCTCTCCTGTGTGACAGTACCCACATGAGCATTCATGGCAGACACTTTACTGAGGTCTCCAGGGATTCAGAGCAATTTTTGATGACTTTAGAGACCCTTTGTTAGAACAGTGAAATGTCACAGCCCCTTTAGAATGATAAGTACAGCTGAAGTGTAGAAAACACCTGCTTTAGAGGAAATCCCCTGGTGCAAATTCTTTGCTTGCAGAGCTGCCAGGTTTGCTACTTGCAGCATCTGCTACATGGGCAGGGAAAAAGGCTGTGAGGATGAGGAGGAAAGGGTACTATGAGGTACCTGTGAGCCAGGAGTTTCAAAAGAAAGGGGAGGAAGCACCTAATGGAGACCTTCAAAATTAGGACATCTCTCTTCATTTTACATTTGTCTTATGTTTTAACTTATATTTCACAATGAATATGCCAGTACTACATCATTCATGCCTGTGCCATGCTATAAATATTTGATGGCCCTTTCAAGTTGTTTCTCCATCTCAGAGGAAGAGAAGCTATTTGTGCTGACATCTGACATATCTTTTCATCAGTGCCTGCAGTCTGTAGTCACCCATCTCTTTTTTTCCTTTTGCCACCTAAACAAAGCTGCACTGGGCAAACATTTCCCACAGGGGTGCAGTGACTCTAGGAGTAGCCTGTGCATTTGTAGCTCACCAGACCAGCTCTGTAGAAATGTGGCAGTAGTGGCACTTACAGAGATGGAGTGTAGTGGTAGGAGAAGGGCTCAGGAGAGTGCTGAGTTGTCTTGGTGAGGGGGAGGACAATCAAATGGGATTCTGAAAAGGTGAAAATCAAACTAAATACAACTCCACTGGCAATTAATTTAAATAGAAGATGCACCAGGGAACCTGATTATACTCTGCCAGTCTCAGAACAATCGAGATAAAGAGCTATTCTTCAGCATGTGCAAAACAAGCCAGAGATCTTTTCTGCCTTACAGATGATGTGCTTCCAATTTACGCATATCCACACAAAATGGGAAAATCGGTTACAGGAGGCTATGTCTATCGTGGCTGCGAGTCTCCAAACCTGAATGGCCTGTACATATTTGGTGATTTTATGAGTGGGTAAGTAAACCCAGATCACTCACTAAGTTGTAACCCCAGCCAAAATCCCCCCCAAAACAGCCTAATAGCCCTTCACCCCTCCCCTCTTGTTTTTTCATGTGCTTATCTTGCCCTTGAAAGACAAGGGTTTGTAGGATGTATAATACATTTGGGTTAATGTTAACAATCTTTCACCCTTCAGAGAAGCTGCAGTTCTTATTGCAGTCAGTGTGGGTAGGAAGCACTAAATATCGTTTCAGGTGTCCATACTAATCATAAATCATCTAGTTCAGGTTGTAGAAGTATTCTTTTCCCTTGCAGACGCCTGATGTCTTTGAAGGAAGATCATGCCACTGGAGAGTGGCAGTACAGTGAAATCTGCATGGGGACAGGACAAACATGCATGTTCCCTGGGCTTATCAATAACTATTATCAATACATCATCTCCTTCGCTGAAGATGAGGCAGGTAATCTTTTAACTTTATGCCACACTGAATGGTATGTTTCTGGTTTCTCTTCAGAATAAAACACCAGAGAAGAGATCAGAGAGGACTCCTGGCAGGCAACATATAATGGGGAGGCACAGCACAAGTCTTTAAAATGCCAGATTCCCAGTATCTCCCAAATATCAAACCAAAGTTACAATGCTAATTCTGAGGTCTGTGTGCCATGCAGTGCCTGCAGTGAGAGTTGGAGAGTCAGTTTCTGAGGGGCTGAGTTTGGTATGCTGGACGTGCTGCTGCATACACACCTTCCCTCTGGAGAACAGAGGGGGACAAGTAGAATAAAACAAAGCTTAGAAAAATCCCCTCATTCTTCACAGTGCTATGCTGTAGGAAATGCAGGCCCTGGGAACCTGAGAAGCTGATACCCAAGGGAGAGCAAGTCTATCTTCTGGTCTAGTCAAGAAGGCTGCGGGCATTATTAATGAGTACAGGGAAGGGGATGTCATGAATGGCGATTATATATCTGCTCACCCTGGGCCAGGGTATTTGTACCTCCCAAGGTGAAGCAGAACAAAAGCCTGTGTTATGTCTTGAGCGAGGCAGCAGCAAAAGAGTCTTTAAGTCTATATTTTATTAGTGCCAGCTGGGATTTTGCCTTGTGTTGGACTGAAGGATACAGTCTCAGTGGAGCTTTGCTGTGTTTTCATGACTGGAGACATTTTGCTTTCTAGAGGGGAGCTGCTGTGATTTGAAGAGGAGGAAATAAAGAGTCCTGAGGAGAAAGCTGGTGGTGTCTCCCATTGTTTGTACAATGGTGTTGCAGAATGTGCAGCCCTGGCTGGGGCTGGGCAGAAGATGAGCCCCACAATGTGCACTTCATGTGTGACCCAGCAGTGCAGGAGTTGTGCTCTGCCCTGTTCCAGGGAGGTTTTGGCTCGTGATCACAAGCACCTGCTTCCAAAATGCCCCAGCTTTTAAACATCTGTTTTTTCCTGCAGATTATGTCAAGTTTGGATGTTGCTCAAATCATATAAATGCAAATTTAATCATGTGAATGCAAATCCTCCAAGTTAAATATTAGCTTGAAAGTCTGACTTTTTTTTTTTTTTAGAGTTAAATTCCATTTTCTTTAATGGTTAATATTCATGGAATTTAGAGCTATTTTACAGTGCTGCAGTGAGAAGGATATCTCACCCTAAAATCAAATCACTTAGTTCAAATCAGCTTTATGCCAAGTGCAATATCAAGCTGTTGATTGCAGCCCTTGCTCATGCACATGAGGATGATCCCCCTCATCCTGTGCTTGTCAACAGAGTCTGGACAAAGCAGGGGTGAAACACTGCCAGCTTTTTGCTGTGCTTTGCATAAATACGATAGAGTTGAGTGGAGATTTGGGCTGGTCTCTTTTCAGATGTAGTTAATTGTCTTGTGTTGGCTTTATAGTAATGGAAAGAAATCTGTTGATAACAGTGTAGTGAGGTTGCTTTATTTGCTATGAACAGTCTTCTCTTGCACCTTTTTTTTGTGCTGGGAATTTAATGTTTGACAAGTTTGTCACACAGTTTATTTTAACAGGGTTTTCTTCACAGAAGCAGTGAAGTTTTGGGGTTGCTGTTCTGATGAGTGTTAATCTATCTGGTGCAGTGGATGTGTGTATGTGGTGGGGAGATCTCTGTTTATGGCCATTATATATATACATATATATATATATGTTATTTTGGCATTATAAAGCCACCAGTCCCATCCCTGTCCAGCAGAACATGTCAGAGACACCGCAGGCACTGTGTCTGTGGGTCACATGTGTGTAGCCTGTGTGCTTCATGCCTGAGCATCCAAACTGCTGCCTGATAACTTCCAGGAAAGAGGAGCAGGATGTAAAGCACACATCACCACAAAACTCACTGCCAGGTATCTCTTGTCCCTGTTTGGACCAAGGCTGCCTCTGGTCTGTCATTAATGAAGCTCAACAGAAGAAGGAAGAAACCAGCCAGAGGTAGCCAAAGCTTTCTGGCCTGGGATTATCCAGAGGAGCCCAGCCCAGGGCAGCACAGGAGAGCAGGTAGGAGGAGGGAGGCTCAGCCCCAACTGCTGCCAGTTGCCCACACATTCCGTTGCTGACCTCTCTGTTCCTTCCCCTCTTCCCCTTGGTTTACCCATAGGACACCAAAGAAAGTCTGTCTCATTCACTAAGCAAATCTATATTGCCTCTTTTTCTATTTCTGCTCTTTTAAAAAAAATATTGCAAGTATATTTTTTCTCTCTGATCCTTTTTTGTTGTACCACTCAAGCACTTGAGCTCTCAAAAGAGTGCCAGAAGAACTGTTTATCCCACTCTCCCCTGCACAACAGGAGAAGAAGGATAGAAATGCAGTTAAGAGAAAATAAGTCAAATAAATGGTGATGGACATTGTTTGGTTGAAGGTCAAGCCCTGCACATGTGACCTGACAAAGATGTGATGAATCAAATGCCTCTTGTGTGAGATATGTCTCACTCTGTGAGTGTGCTAGAGAAAGCAAAAGTAAAATCTTGTTCTCCTGTAATTCACATCCAAATGAGCAGAAGACAGTGAACTTACCTAATTTCCTTTCATTTCAATGAAAGTAATTCAGGGTTTGACTGTCTTACATTAGAGAAGTCAAAGGACACAGATCATAATGAGATGATAAGGAAGGTCTGAGCAGGTGAACCTGCAGTGGCAATTTGTCCAAATAGTAATTCATGACAATTTGTAAAAGCTGCCTCTCACTAAGGGTATTTTATGCCAGTGCACTGCAGATGAGCTCTCAGACCCCTGATGCAGAGTTGATGCCTTTGTGCTGTACAGGACAGAAACTCCATGGACAGTTTTCAGGGGTGTGTCTGTTCTTTTTTTACCAGGGGAATTGTACTTCCTGTCTACTGGAGTACCAAGTGCCACAGCTCCCCATGGAGTGGTGTACAAAGTGGTGGACACCTCCAGGTATGACACGTTCCTGTTGCAAGGCCTGGTGATGGTGCAGTGAGTCCTGGCATGGATGCTGTGAATGGGCTGTGTGATGGTGTAGATGTGATGTTGGCTGACTAATTCACTCTTCTCCCATGCTGGGCCCTTCTGGGGAGGTCGATCAAGGAACATCTGGAGCAACCCATTGTGGGTCTGCTTTGCTCCTGCAGTCGTGGGGGTCTACACTGCCTGGTGCCAAGTTTTTATGAGGCCTTTCAGTGTTGGGAGATTTCCTGAATGCTAAAGGAGTATTTTGTGGGTGGATTGTCTTTCTTGGGCAAAGTTTCCCTAGATTCCTGCCCCAAAGGGGGCAGATTTTCTCAAGGTGTTTATTCTCAGTTCATCCCTGTTTTCATCTCCCACAAGAACCCTGTGCCCCCGGTCACTGCAGCCAAAGCTGGACCAGCATGACCTGCAGTGCTTTCTTGGGCAAATCAGAAATTAATATCAAAAGTACATTCTTCTTAATGTTTCAAAGAGTGTTATGGATTGAACAAGAAAACAGGACCATTGTTACATCTCCTGGGTTCCACGTGCCTGTATCTGAGACTGGGCAAGGCAGGGAATAGCTGTGTTTTATGGGAAGACTTACAGCTGTTTTTTCCATCTTCCTGTTTTTAAAGTGTGACTATTATTGGCTAAACACCAAGATACTTTCAGCCAGAAACAGAGAGCAATATTTTGTAGCTTATTTTTTTTTTTAATGGATTAAATTTAGAGCTTTAGTCTATCTGAGGATTTTGAACCACACCACTTGTCTAGTTTTATATTGAAACCAGTCCCCAAAGTTAAAAAGCCGCCAGATCTGTCACATGTTTCCTCCAACTCTTCTCTGTCAGGAGCATTTTCCATTATCAAATGCAATGGAAGAGTTCCTGTAAACTATGTATTAAGAAGCTGGAATTACGCAACCTTTTCAAAAATAAAGAAAGCAGAAATCAAACACAAGGAATAAGTTTAAGTTTAAAAAGAAGCCTTGTTCATGTTCAGAGTACCACAAAAAAAATCATTGGAAAATCTATAAAAGTAGGGAACATCCTTGTGTAGACAGTTGAAAGAGAAGCTCTCTGCCTTCCACAGAAATGAAAATGCAAACAGTCCTAATTGCACAGGAGTTATACCCTCCAAATGCAAACATTATCCATTTTTGAACCAATTTGAAAACCTCTGAAGAAGTCTGAGGATTACCAAGACAGCTGTCATAGGAAAAAGTGGTGATGAACCGGATGTGACTTCCCAGAAGTGAGATACATCTCTATGGCAAACAAATTGTGTCAAAATAATGCACCATACTAAGACAAAGCCTCTGGAGGAGACATTTAGAGTTCTTTTCTGAAACTAATGCATTTTTGACATGACATTTGTTTGGGCTTTCTGTATGAATAATAGTATGTTATTTTGCTTCTGTGAAAACAGTCTGAAATCTTGCATACACATGACCTTTGTGTCAGATGTTCAACATATACTGTCTAGTTTTGTAATTTTTATTTTCAGTTGGATTATTCTCTTTCTGTACTACTTGAACCTGCCAATGTTTTATTTCCTTAATGGCTTCAATAATGGCAGCTGAAAACACAGACAGAGGACTCCACTGCCTTTGGAATATTTGGACTTTCATCAATGGTGATCTGTGATTCTTTAGTTGTTTTCTACTGTAAGAGATTAGTTGCATCATTTAAACAGACTTTGTTTCTTTTCCAATAAGAATTATGTTCTTAGAAAAACAATGGGAAGTGTTGCTATGCCAGAGGAAAGGAATTAATTGTGCAGTGTATGTTTCCCTTTCTTTCAAGGACAGCACCACCAGGAAAATGCCAAGTTGAGCCATCGCCAGTGAAAGTCAAAAGCAAGCGCATCCCGTTTGTACCAAAGGAGAGTGAGTGTAACTCTTGCTGTTTATTATTGGTTCATGTTAGCTGGCAGTAGATACAAACTCCAGATTTGCACTACCCAGAACTTCACTCTTCAGGGTATCCTCAAAATTAAATCTTCCCAGATGCTTTAGATCTGAAGAAATGGTTCAAATAAGTCAAACTCCCTTTTTTGGCCATGTGAAATTTGCTTTTTAGTTTCCGACCCTCTTCATTTTCTCTTTTTCATGCTACATTGTACACATTTCATTACCACCATCTTGCTTTCCCTGTAACTGTTCCTGTCCAGAGATCTTGTACTCAATGGTACTTTTCAGGGACAAGTGATTTTTTTTGCAGTAGCTTCAGGTAGCGGAGAGGATATGATGGGTAAAGAGTTGGGAAGTAGCTCACTGAGCAAGATGAGAGCTGAGTCATTGTTAGTCGAAAGTGAGAAAATATGGGCTGACAAAATGCTCCCAAAAGAATCAGTGATCATGCACTGAGGCGAATTTTTGGCTTACCCAAATCCTCCAGGGCCTTTTGATTGCTTCATGCTGCATGAAGGATTGTACTACTAAAGCTGGAGTAGTCAGTGGTGGAACCGAATCTGCAGCAAGCCAAGTACTATTTGTGTGAGGTACAAAAACACAGTACTAGGATCTCAAAAGTAGACTAGACAGTATCATTGTTCTTTCTCACTGTGCATTTAAATTACACATATAAGTACCTAGGCAGAACCCCAACAAATTCCTTTCCAACTCAGCATAGTCCATGAACTTTGTCACAAGGTTAATGGTACTGCAAGAACTCCAAAGTCAGTACACTTTTATTTAATTTTTAATTACATTAATCACGTTACATTGCATTTGAGTCTGTTATGAACTAACAGTTCATACAGCTTTGGCTTAAGGGAATAATGAAGGCACTCAGCACCTTGCAACACTGAGTCTCTAAAGTGGAACAAACTCAAAAGTAATTATTGACTGCTGACATGCCTGAGCACTCAGTATCTTCAAGGATGTTCTCCTTTTCTGGCTGAGCAGGCAGCTTCCAAATATTAGTAACTTGGTTCATGTTCAAACGTTTTTGTCTGTTTCTGCTTATGCATTATTCTCTATGCAAGCCCAAAGTTCAGATTTTTAAACTATACATATAACTAAATCTTTTGGGTTTGTTTGCAAGGTAATTTTTGTCATAAATGAAAACTTAGAAATGATGGGAGGGATTCTACCAACTGTCTCAAGAATTACAGTCTCTTTTTGGTGAAAAATGAGCACAACCATTTTGATTCAGAAGCACACAAAGATGTGTAGCTGTAAATATTTATTGTTTTGGTTGGTATTTGGTCTAAATGTAACAGAATCACCAGGGCATGTGCCTTGAATTAGCTACGAGTGCATTTTTTGCAAGTGTATTTAAGAAATAGTTTAATAAAGAGTATTATATGACAACTTGATCCAGTGAGGTGAAAAGCACTCGCAGGTGACCATTGGCTTTCATACAGTCCTGCATAGTATTCAGTCAATCCCAGGGTTTTCAAGTGCTTTGCCAGACCAGGCTCCAGCAAATGAGCTGTGCACAGGTAATGCCTTCAAATCTGTTTCTTGCCTTGAGAACAGCAGCTTTCAAAGGAAGGAAATATTTTCGTGTCATGAACGCAATTCATTTTCAAAGAGCATTATATGGAAAAACATGGACCATTGCAAGGGTTTGTCTTTTGGGGACTAAGCACAAATAGACAGTGATATTTTTCCTCCTCTCTGTACTACAAAGAAAATGATGAATGAGAATGCATAAATCTGGGATATAAATCAAAGTCACGATGTCTTTGCAAATGTCTGTGACACCATCCCAGTTCTGTTGAATGTTATTCTGTGAAATTCTGAATTGCTTCCTTCTGGCAAACTAAAACTTATTTTTAAGCTAAAAATAAAGTAAATGTGAATAAGCAAGTCCAGTAACACCTGGAAACTGTGACAGCAAAGAATTTTAATTTCTTTAGAGTCCAAGGCTCTTTCATTTTTTTCTTTTTTTTTTTTTTTATAAGGAAGAACAAACCCAACCCCAAATCCTGTTTTATGTGTTGTCCTGACAACTCTGTTCCTCTTGCACATTCCAGTTGCCAGAGAGAACTGATTTTGAATGTTCCTGATTTCAGCTCCTCTGAATAAAGCATCTGGCCCAGTGGGGAGGCCACGCTCTCCTCTGGTAATGATCCAATCCTTAGTAATGAAGAGAAGAGCAGAAATAGTGCCTTGTCTGTAAAATGTCTTCGGCAGCACTTCACCAGGATATGGTGAAGAGCTCCTTTCCTGACCGTGAAACTCCAACACCTACCCTTTAAGGGCCAGGCTGACATTTGCCAATAAAACACTTGGACCTTTCCTTTTGGGAGAGGCTCAGCGTTGGCATTCAGCCCTGCAGTCCTCTCTGCTAACAACAGCCGACAGTTTTCATTGAGGAAATACCGTTTTGCTAAGAGTCTTGTTGCTTCTCAACAGGATCAAGTAGGTAAATTCCAAGAAATTACTTATATAAGTCAAAAACCAGCACTGGTTTCGTGTAGCTGTCTTCAAGCACTGCCTGGAGCGTGACAGGCTTTGTGTTTTTTCCCCCGACAGAGTTTATTATGAAAACACCAACGCCACATCCCCGGCTGAAGACCACCACCGAGGCCCCGCGGGGAGGCGGCCCTGACGCCCTCAGGCCCCTCACGCCGGCGCCGCCGGGGAGGGGAAGCAGGCCCAGC